TTCTTTTATTTTTTACTGTTGACCCTATTACAGATACCTCCCACTAACAGCGCCTTCCTATCCTTGCTGCAGCCAAAAAGGGTCTACCAGCTTCCTGCAAAATGGCATGGAAGACAGATTAGAAGCTTGATTCTCTGTGATGCAATACTTGACCAAGAAGAGTATAACCACGATTTTTCTGCATGTTGCACTGAAGCATAATAACTTCCATCTTATATAAAAACTGCTGTTTGAAATTCTCTGCTATTGTTAGATAGTCCCTTGTTCTGTAAACTGTCATTTTTAGACAGTCTCTTATTCTGTAGAATAACTGTTTTAGTTTGAATAATAGAAAAAGATAAAAACTTAACTGTCTGACCTTGCAAGCTAGCCATCTAATGTAATGGACTAATACTGGTAATAATTCCCATATTCTTATGCCAAAAGTTTGTTCTTTATATATCCAAGATTGCAAACTGTCTTTAACAATAACTCACACAGAGTTCTTTGTAAAATCTTCAGACAAAGTGCCAGGGGCCTTGATTCAGCATCTAGAAGGGTTCAGGAATCTGGAGAAGGCGCTGTGTGTAAATTAATCAAGAGTCCAGAGACGAAACATAATTTTGAAAGGCATTTTGGGAGTCAGAGAAGTCTTAGCTAAAAGAACTAAGTTCTCCCTTGTCTCAGGACCCCTTGCTTTTTATTAACACAAGTTGCCCTAAGGCGAGGTAGATATACATAAAAGGGTAAAGTTTAGTATACAGATTCTATTGTCAGATTGGGGGAATTGCCTATGGCTGTTCAGGTGTTTGGCCAGGAGGAGACAATAGATTAAGATACCCTCATCTGTCTGGCAGCAAGCAATCATTTTATGCATCATTTTCAGGTTTGGGGAAATGCCCTCAGCCACCTCCAGATGATTCAGCCCTGCTTACATGCTGGAATTGGCTTCTGGCAACAAAGAAGCTCAAAAAGTATAAATATGGAAAACTTCCTGTATGACTTCACTCAGAGATTTGGAAGAAACACCTCCCTCTGGGCTATGCGCAATAAACGACTCCTAATTAATTGGCTCATTAAGGCTTCTTGTATCTCACTCACTGATGTACGATACAACAGCACAATCTCTGATTTCCTGTTAACCTAAAAATTCCCTCCCCACTTATTCACTGAGAAGTTCCAGAAAGGGACAATGTTGCTTCTCAATCACAAGTAAGCAAGGAAGCTGGGGCAGAAATGAGCAATTGCCTGGATTTGGGGCAGCAGAGAAACTTGTTAGTGATAATTACTAAGTCACAAGTGTGATGTGACAGACTTGGATTCACAATAAAAATGCAGGGTACCACCCATAGAGCAGAATCTCTTTTAATTACGAATTTGGGCCATGCCCTAATTTATAAAGGCCCACTATTTGAAAAGCTGGACATGGTGTTATTGCATGTTGTATTATCCTAGGTGTTTTTATTGGTTTATATCAAATGTATGTGTGCATGTATATGCACATTATCTACTTTAAACGAGACTTCTCTTTTTAAATATATTATAAAGTAATATGTCAAAGCAAAACTTGTATAGAGAGATAACTTTAGACAAACTTGAAATGATAAGAAGATTCCAAAGAGCATCTCCAAATCCCTAACAGATACCACTGCATTTTTCCCAAATCAATCATTTCAGTTACATAAATGTCTCTAATCATCTACAATAGGCATGCGTGTGGATGGCAGGTTGTTAAATAATAGTTTTAGTGAAGCAATTTCTTCCATGAATGTACAGAACTGAACTGCAATAGGTTGGAGGCAATACTGCTTATGGATAAATCTATACTAATAAAAGGGTAATAATTCTAATTAGACCAGGTCAACTGGACATCTTCCAGACATTCAACTTGCTGCTGGACAAAGCCATAGTGGCTAGGGCCGAGGTAGAGGCACTTAGGGGTGATCAGGCCAACAGGGGAGAGCAGTTAGGGACGATCAGGCCATCAGGGGAGCAAGCAGTTAGGAGCAAGTTCTGGCTGGCATAGGGGAGCAAGAAGTTAGAGGCAAGGTCAGGCTGGCAGGGGGCGGTCAGGCCAGCAGGGGAGCAGTTAGGGGGCGATCAGGCAGGCAGGTGAGCAGTTAGGAGCCAACGGTCCCAAATTGTGAGAGGGATGTGCCCAAGGCGTTCCAGTTTGGAGAGGGTGCAGGCTGAGCTGAGAGACAACCCCTCTCCCTGTGCATGAATTTCATGCACCGGGCCTCTAGTATGGACATAAGGATAAAGTAAATTTAATCCCAGATTCCAGCTCTTCTGGGAGGCCTAGTTAATTAATGAACAAAGAAAGATATTTTATCTGCTTTAGTTCCACCATCAGTAAAATATGGATAGCAATGTACCACAAGATTAATGTGAAGACTAAATGAACAATAAACGTACAGTATCCAGTGTAGTGCTTAGTGCAAACCATATGCTCAATAAATAGTAAGTCTGATTATTTTATATTACATATAGAACATAGGTGAGCTAGAACAATATCAAAATTCCTAAGAAAAATGTAGAAGTCAAGAAAATAGTTTATAGCTTTTCAAGTTTATTCATTCCGTGTTATCATATAGATTAATATTGATTGTGAAAACATTACCATCAGTTCAATGTCTTCTTTTGAAATAAAGACCCAATTTCTGACAGTTAAGTAGTTAGACATCAGTACTTGGATTTCACTTAGACATCTTAAGCATACTGAACAGAACCACCAATTCACATGCATCAGCATAATCACAAGAAAACACACAGAACGTTATTACTATAGCCACCAAAAAAGTTAAATTCACACCCATTCAAATTCTCTGAGAGTTTTTGCCCAAATTTTCTCAACTAGCTTTTTGAACCTCCATCCCTATAATAATTCAGCCACCAAGTTCTAATAATTTGAATCTTTTAATATATAATCTTTTGTATCTTCAATATCCTAGCTCAGACTATGTAACCTCTATCTGAAACACTACAATAGTTCTACAGTGTTGCTTCATGTCAATTCTTGGTGCAGCTGTAAAGATGGTTTTAAAACACAATGTGCACCGTGATCGATTTGGCTCAGTGGCTAGAGCTTCAGCCTGCGGACTCAACAGTCCCAGGTTTGATTCTAGTCAAGGGCACGTACCTTGGTTGCAGGCACTTCCCCAGTGGGGAGTGTGCAGGAGGCAGCTGATCAATGTTTCTCTCTCATCGATGTTTCAAACTCTCTATCCCTCGCCCTTCCTCTCTGTAAAAAATCAATAAAATATATTTCAAAAATAAATAAATAAATAAAACACAATGTGTGTGAATGGTTTCTATTGTCTTTTTTATTTTGCCCATGATCAGGAACATCTAAAGACACTCTAGCTCCATTCACCACTCAAACTCTATATTCTAATGATTTCAAATATCCTCCTATCCCTATGACACATTAAGTTTTCATAAGGCTCTTATCTCTATCGATGATATTCTCTTTATGCAATTCCTACTCATCCTTCAGTGTTCATCTTAAGTGGCAGTTCCCCTGTAATGGTTGCAAACCATATGAGGAAAAAGGTCCTGAAGCAATAGGGATAAAATTAAATTCTTAAAATGGAATCAAGGAGATTTATAAAAAGGAAAGTAAGCAATCAGACTTGAAGTTGCTGAACCTAAAATTTTGTCTTTTATGTCTTCTGTGAAGAGTTCAGATTTCATTCACTCAAGAAATGTTCATCTACTATATGCCAATCACTGTCTGTGTTCTGAGAATAGAGCAGAAAAACTAAAATCTCTGCCCACCTTGCATTGGCATTCTAACATTTTTTTTGAAGAGGTTCCATATAAAATTATGCTTTATAAATAAAAATAATGTAATAACATAAAAAACTAAAATTTAAAATAAAAAACTTTCATATTATCCCACTACTTTAATAAAACTGTTATCTCTATATTGGCATCTGAGTAACTAACTTCCATTCAACATAAAAGTTTTTTATATAAGTCAATTAATGTACATGGCGGCACATACTAGTGAAGTTTCATTGAAAAAAACTTTAGTTTTATGGTGCTTTCCTAATTACATTTATTGATTTTCAACTTTAGATAGTGGGTATTCATTCTCTGACATTCTAACTTATTATGGATTACCTCTGCATAGTACTTATGTATGCTTTTATTTTAGTTCTAAAAAGTTTTATTTATTTTTCCACATTTGCCATAACATTTGACCCTCTACACTGAAAATTGGTGGTTATTAATACTTCTATTTTTTCTTCACATTGCATATCCTAAATTCTGATACTGACATTTTATTTTTACACACTGAAGTGTAATATTTATTTTTGATTTTGTAATAACTACCATGTATGGTCCGCTGTATCAAAACCTATTTAAATGATAAGTGCAGAAAATTGATCCATCCTTGCTGCTGGACACAGTCGCTGCAGGGAAGAAACATCTGTGCAGCTTATGTTTCCAGGGACCTGGCCTATATGGCATACTGTTCTTAATATGTTTGCTCCCCTTAGTGCTGTGTGTTTTAACCAAGGTCGCCTCCCTGAGAAAGTTTGTTTCCCCAGGTGGGAATTTTTATCAGTAAAACCCCTTACCTAAGTGCCAAGGGGGTAGTTAATCACTTTAACTATGAACAATCATGCTTAAGCTACATAATCTTTACTCCCTGGAATGGAGATAAGAGAAGCCCTAACCTTTGGAATAGAATGGATAGGATTAAAATCAACTGGTATAAATACAGATGTAACAGGAGGAATAAACACAACCTGGCTGGAGAACCTGGACAGGACTTGGCTGGAGATCCTGGCTACGGAACCTGGCTATGCTGATGAACTGAACGCTGTCTCCGTGTCATTCCTTCTTCGCTGTCTCCGTCCACACCTTTGGGAACCCCTGGACCTGTTTGGGCAGGCAATTTTGTCCACCTGGGGAGGTGCGCAGACCTGTGGAGCTGGTTGGAGGGGAGCCGGAGAGTTGTCCGAGGGTGTGTGGACTTCTGCCGCTGAGTTTCTCACTCAGATATCGAAATGCATCGTGATTCTGGTCCATTGGATTGTAAGGTTTATGTGGGAAATCTTGGGGACAAAGGTGACAAGAGAGAATTGGAACGGGCTTTTGGCTATTATGGGCCACTCAGAAGTGTGTGGGTTGCTAGAAACCCTCCCTGCTTTGCTTTTGTGCAGTTTGAAGATCCCCGAGATGCAGCTGATGCTGCCCGAGAGCTAGATGGGAGATCAGTATGTGGCTGCCCAGTAAGAGCAGAACTGTCCAATGGTGAAAAGAGAAGTCGAAATCGAGGCCCGCCTCCCTCTTGGGATCGTCGCCCTCGAGATGATTATCATCCAAGGAGTCCCCCACCTCGCCGCAGATCTCCAAGACGCAGAAGCTTCTCCCGTAGCCGGAGCAGGTCCCTTTCCAGAGATAGGAGAAGAGAGATCACTGTCCCGGGAGAGAAATCATAAGCCGTCTCCATACTTCTCTAGGTCTCAAAGCCGATCTAGGCCAAATGAAAGGAAATAGAAGACCAGTTTGCAAGATGAGTGGTGTACAGGAAATAGCTTCATTTGGCAGGAGGATGGACAGAAAATTAAAGTGTTGTTTGAGACTTCATAAGCTTGGTGCATTTTTTTAAAATATATTTTATTGATTTTTTTACAGAGAGGAAGAGAGAGAGAGAGAGAGAGAGAGAGAATTAGAAACATCAATGAGAGAGAAACATGGATCAGTTGCCTCCTGCCCACCTCCCACTGGAGATGTGCCCGCAACCAAGTTGCATGCCCTTGACTGGAATCAAACCTGGGACCTTTCAGTCCGCAGGCCGACGCTCTATCCACTGAGCCAAACTAGTTAGGGCAGCTTGGTGCATTTTTAAGATGTTTTAGCTGTTCACATTTGTTTGTTTGGAATAGTGACACATAAAGATGGAATTCTCTATGGTTTGAAATGGATCATATGAGGCATGTAATATCAAGAATTGTTACTTTACAATGTTCCCTTAAGCAAAATTGAATTTGCTTTGAACTTCAGTCGCGTAGACTGATAATAAACCTCTTAACTTCTGCCCAGCTAAAGTGTGATGTGGAATATTGTGGAAACAAAACTGGCAAAATTGGATGTAAGACTTTCCAAAGCTGTGACCTCATATGTAGCTGTAGTTGGACAAGCAGTCTTCAAAAGCTGCGGTGAACACAAGCCAGCAGCTAAAAATTAAAGCTGCACCCTTAAACTAGATTAGAGGTTTAAAAAAATCCAAGTAGTCTTTACACTGAGCAGATGTCCTGTTAGTGTAGAATCTAAGAATTTTTAAGAAAGTTAGTTTACCTTTGCTTTCGGTCATAAATTTAACTGATTGCTATATATGAATACATGACTATTAAAGATAACAGCGTCCTGCCAGTTTAAGGGTACATTGTAGAGCTGAACTTTGAGTTACTGTGCAAAATTTTTTCCATGCTGTCATTTGTAATGTTTTGTGAGAATCCTTGGGATTAAAGTTTTGGTTACAAAAAAAAAAAGAGAGAGAGATGTGGGGAGCCAATATAGGGTTAAGCCTCGACTGGCGTGTTGGCAAAGTCACAAACAAGTCTTCTGAGTCTTAAACAACCCAATCCGAGAGGTGGCCACTGATTTACATGTGTTGTCATTTTAAAAATAAAAATGGAATTTGCCCTGACTGGTTTGGCTCAGTGGATAGAGCGTCAGCCTGTGGACTGAAGGGTCCCAGGTTCAATTCCGGTCAGGGGCATGTACCTTGGCTACAGGAACATCCCCAGTGAGGGGTGTCCAGGAGGCGGCTGATCAATGTTTCTCTCTCATGGATGTTTCTGACTCTCTATCCTTCTCCCTTCCTCTCTGTAAAAAATTAATAATATATAGTTTTTTTAAAAAAAAAAAAAAAAGGAGGAATTTACCAGAAACTGATCCACCCTTGCTGCTTGACACAGTCGATGTAGGGAAGAAACATCTGTACAGCTTATGTTTCAAGGGACCTGGCGTATATGGTGTACGTTTGCTCCCCCTCTTAGCGCTATGTGTTTTAAACAGAAACACCTCCCCGAGAAAGGTTGTTTCCCCAGGTGAGGATTTTTCCCTGGAGTTAGGGATTAACAGGACTAAGGAAGGGAATAAATCTGAAAAACCCCTTAACTAAGTGCCAGGCGGGTAGTTAATCACTTTAACTGCAAACAATCATGCTTAAGCTACATAATCTTTACTTAGGATAATATCCTTCAGTTACTTCCTTGTAGCTTGATAGAACAATAGAGTAACCTTGGAATGGAGACAAGGAACACCCTAATCTTTGGAATAGAATGGATAGGATTAAAATCAACTGGTATAAATACAGATGTAACAAGACAATAAGACCCAGAACTTGGTTGGAGATCCTGGCTAGAGAACCTGGCTAGGCTGCTGATCAACTGAACTCTGTGTCATTCCTTCTTCGCTGACTCTGTCCACACCTTTGGGAACCCCTGGACCTGCTGGGGTTAGACCCCAACAGAAAAGTATTAAACAATATTACAGTATTAATTCCATACAAAATCTTTCAAATATTAAACTTAATAGATAATATGCTGAAATAATATGCTGACCTTGAAGAAGCAAATGTTCTGGAGAGACCCACCTGGAAAAATGGTCTCTCACAGCTAAGGGCCTCAATCCTACAACTTTAAGAAATGAAGTTCTGGCAACCACAGTGAGAAGAGGACCCCAAGCCTAAGATAAGACTACGACCCTGACCAATACCTTGATCACAGTCCTGTGAGCCTTCAGCATAGCACCCAGCCTGCTACTCTCCAGGCCCTCAGAAGTTTTGAGGTTAAAAAAAAAAAAAAAAAGTGTGCTCTTTTAAGCCACTAATGTGTGGTAATCTGTTATCCAGCAGTAGAAAATAGTGCTGCTCTTTTGTTTGTAGTATTTGCAAGTCTGATGATGTCAGTCAGCCTGAGTCTTTTTCCTTCATAGGAAACTACTATAATACTGGTATCTATTTCTGGTATCCTAAAATCCCACTATGATGTACATAGACATTTAAAAAACTATGTACTGGCAGATTATTATATGTCACATTCCATTTTAATTTCTGGAGATCAAGTGGTGAACAAATAGCAAATACTCTATCATCACGGAGCTCATGCAGGCACAACATCAATATATAAGGAGTTGGGTATTTTAGTACTTATTTTATTATACTAGGTGCTGGTACCTGCTCTGACAAATGTCAAAAGCTTAGGAGTTTAACAAAACACATCACATGGTGTTTTCATCAGAATTATTACTTTCATTTTTTCTGTTATTTTCTTTCCATGTTTGGGGATGTTTTGTTTTTCATTATCTTCACAAGAATATACATCCTTTTGACTAGATTTCAGTGAGAAAGAAATTTAATTAATTTAATTTTACAAATCTGATAACTGGAATAATTTTCTATGTACTTCCTCTGGAACTCTGCATTTCAAACCTGAGTTCTCCATTCCTTTAACACTGATGCTGAGTTCCATGGAATATAGCTATATCCTGATAATTCTTTGTATGAATAGGCACAATGGATGATTAACTCTTGATAGCTATTTACACGTCTGGATGACAAACAATCAATTAAATATAAATGGGGAAAAGAAAAAAAACATATGATTTTATTTTCCCAGAGCCCATTCACACAGATCTTTAACTCAAGATTCCTCTTTTCAAATCCCCAAATACTTGCCATGACTCAAATCACACATAACAAAAGGTGAAATGTGACAGAATTATCATGAAAAGAAACTGATTTCATAAAGGGTTGTAGTTAAAAATATATATATTTTAATTGTCACACAATTCTAGGACCCTCCGAGAGTCTTGAAGGAAGCTGTAACAGGAGAGATCCCTCAGTATTAACCTTCATTAGTTTCACTGTAAATCCACCTCTGAGCACCTGGAAGTCATCACAGAGCAGGTTTAGAAGTAATGCACATCATTTCTGACCATGTCCTGCTTGACACAAGTTAATTACATGACCCACTAACTACAAGAAAATATAGCTTGGTTGTACATCAGAGGCAGAGCAAAAACAAGTGAACACTTGACATGCTCTGCCATAGATGACAATATGAGCTATGCAGGAACACAGAGAAAGTTGAGAAGGCAAAGGGTGAAGTTAGTTAATTAGAGAAAGTCTGGAAACCTTATTTAAATTAGAGCAAATATGGTTTAGGGTTTAAGGTCATGGTCTACATTGCAACACTGCTTGGATTTGAATCTTAACTCCACTCTTACTAATAATATGACTTTGGAAAAACTAATATACCTTTCTGGGTCTGGGTTTATTTGCAATATTGGGATTAGTGCTGAAAATCATGTCTGATAGATAAGAAAATCTATCTATGGCATTTACTATCATCATCAGGCTTTATTAATAAAGTTATATTTGAACAGAGCTATGAATGTACAATCCATACGAAAATATGGGAGATATTCTAGATAGTAGAAACAAAATAAAAAGAGGTCTTGAATCAACTTTTAAAATGTTGTTAATAACACGAGAACTAAATATTGATCACTATATTTTATAAGGTGGAGAACATTGGTGCCTTTAAAGTGTCTCTCAGGAATGCTAGAGAGAAAGCCTAGTTAAAGAGAACAGAAGAAGAGGAATGATAGGCATTGAATACATATTCTTTTTCAGGTGTTTTGCTGTCGAGTGGGTCACTGCCACTGTGGCGATCAGTGTCAAGGTGCTGCTGTTGTTGGAGACAATGCGGCGTATTTGAATGGTGATGGAAATGATTCAGGGGAAAGGGCATTCCTGCTGACGAGAAAGCAGGACAATTATGTACTTAGGCAGAGAGAATGAAATCCAGGGCACAAATGCGTCATAGCAAGTGTTCTGTAATAACAGGAGATAGATAATACAGGCACATGTTAGAAGTGTGGGCAAAAGGGAGCCTAGGAAAGTTATTTTAATTGCTTCTATTTTCTCAGTAAAATTAAAACCAAAGGCATTTACAGAAAAGGAAGATGGAGCAGTATTACCTATAATTTGTGTCAAAGAAGCAAACATGTAAAATAGATGTTCAGGAGATTGTGAGAATGAAGGTCAAGGACAGTGATTCTGAAACTTGGGCATGCATCAGGTTCACCCAAAGAGCTTGTGAATGCATAGATTTCTGAGCCCTCCTCCAGGTTTTTTGAATCAGTACATCTAGAGTGAGGTCTGAAAATTTACATTTCTAATAAATTCCTAGGTGGTGCTAATCTTAGGGGTACAGTAGCCACAGTTTGAAAACCAATAAACTAAAAAAAAAAAAAAAGAGTAGTACTTCTGGGCAACAAATTCAGGTGCATTGATAATGAATTTAGTGTGAGGGTTGTATATTTTCTGTATCATACACAGTTGGAGATGTAATTAGAAACTGGGATTTATTTACTCATGATCTGTTCTCTCAATGTCACATAGTAGAAAACAGAAAGGGGGCCTTGG